CAACCCTAGCCATACTCAGCAGAGGTATGTTAGCAGAGGCACTTAAAAGGCAGGTGAAGAATCCAGAGTCTAGCCAGGAGCAGAGACTGCAGAGCTGAGGCTGTAGGGAAGCAAGAGCTGTGAAGAGTCAACACAGCAGTTGCTGCAAGCTCCAGACACCACTGAGAATCACTAGTTCCAATGCTTTAGTGCTGAAGAGTCATACACTCACTGACAATTGACAGGCCCAATACCCTGAAGTTGAGGCTTTGTAGCTGAGTGTCCTCGAACCATAACCTCAGAGCTACACCAGTGGCTGGGTACTGAGTCAGTAACACTGAAGGCTCAGGAACTGTCCAGGGTCCCTGCTTATGCTTTCCATCTCATAGGAAAAAGAACCAGAAGTGGACTGGTGATGACAGTGGACACGAGCTTTCCACACCCTGTCTGTAGAGAAGCCATTGGGAAAGCACATAGAAGGTTGATTATTGAGGCTTAGAAATGATAGCATTTGAATATCTTGAAATTTGAGTCAAAGGAATTCCCTAACATTATATTTGGAGAAGGATCAAAGATGACTTCAAGGTTTTTCAAGTGTACTTGAAAAACTGCACATAACTGAATCTGTCTAAGTCTTTCCTAGCTTTTACTTACAAAGGGAGCCAGACACGAAGAACTGCCTAGTAAATTTTACCAAGTACAAAATTCTCCTGTGGCCCAGCTCATGACCTCCCAATGATCCTTGTATAACTTCAGATTGTTAGCATGAAGTTGGCTATGTGGACTACAATTGTTTCTTCATTCCAACAATCCCCACTAATCAAATATATGTGCTCTGTATGAACAAAATATGACAGAGGTTGCTTATTACTCATGAAAATGCACAAGACTACATTAGAAGCTGATTTATCACACTTAAAAGATGAAGTTATATTTAGAGGTTAGTTCTCTTTGTTCAAGGTCACTTAGTGAGCAAAAAAGCTTGCCTTTGCCAAGATGACTCCAAAACCAATCTGTTAACTATACTACAACATAATACCCTTGAGAGGCCCTCATTGTTAAAGTTCTTAGATTGTCTAGCCTTCCCTCCATTCCTCCTATGACTAGGTTATTGAAATAGAAACATCACTTGATGGTGGTACAAATAACTTTTTGGAAAGTAGAGTCTCAGGCTGGAGAGATGGCTCAGCTGTTAAGAGCACTGATTGCTCTTTCAGAGGTCCTGAGTTCAATTCCCAGCAACCACATGGTGGCTCACAACCATCTGTAATGGGATCCAATGCCCTCTTCTGGGTGTCTGAAGACAGCAACAGTGTACTCATATATAAAATAAATAAATAAACTTAAAAAAAAGAAAAGAAAGTAGAGTCTTGAATTCCCAGTTGGAAAGATGATAAAATGTGCCTTGTTTTGCTAGGGGGAAAAATCAGAAAATAAAACAAAGCTGTCCTTCTGAGAGGCTTTTCTATTCATACTATGGTATTATGGACTTCCTTGAGATAATAATAACCCAGTACTGGGCCACTCAACAACCTTATCACTCAGACCCTGATAACAGAATTCTCATACCACAGTGGTTTGGTTTTTCCTTTCCCCAGAGAAAACAGTATCTTCAAGATGTTCTTCTCTCTGCTTTCTGCCACTCTTCACCAGGCTAATGTAGGTGGACTCTTGAGAGCTCAGCTTGGGAATCACTTCCAGAGATGGCTCCGATTTCCCTTACAAGCTCCCGGAGGACAAAGCATAATCCCACCATAATCTATGCATGAGGTTCCCATTTCCCATCTCACTGGCCCTTATTGAAACAGACAGAAACTGCTTTTACTAAGCAGCACTGGCTTCCCATTTGGGCCCATGCGGTAACCAAATGCTGGAGGAAAGCTTGGCATCTCTTCCTTCTTTCTGTGCCTGTCTTTGTTCTTTGGCTGCTGAAACCACATAAATGTGCATTCTGAAATTCCAGGAAGGGTGAGGAACAAACCCTCCACCCCAGATGTTGGGCCACTATCCATAAGGGCAGAGGACATCCTGGAAGAGAAGTGATCAGCCTGTAGGAACCACAATGGTCCTTTCAGAGAATGACAACTAGGAGAGGATGACAGAGATGAACAGATACACTTCTCATGCCAGCTAATAGGACCGAAGCTGAGACAAAGGAAGAGTTAGCAACAGTCAAGACCACACCCTGACCTCAGCTGCTTAATTACATACCACTTGTCCTTTGCCCAATTTCTCCTCTACTTAATCTAAAGTTTTGGCTGAAGACACACTTGGGATCACTGGACCCTTTAACTGTTCCTCTTCCAGAGTGGCCAACTGCAGTAAGCTTTCCTCCACTTCACCATTATTTGACAACAGGCAGATGAGCCCAGCCTGCGGAGGCTGCCAGAGCAGGGATTTTTTTGGGCCTAAAAATTCACATTAGATTACTAGGATAAGATCCATGGACTCACCCAATAGTGTTATATTATACTAAGGACAGGAAAAGAAGCAAAATAAAATATTAGTTTTCCAAACGTATCTGTATCTACAAATAGCATTGGAACTGATCTACACAAATTTATTTGCTTATACTGTCTAAACTGACTAATTTTATTATACTAGTAATTCAACAACAATTATGTCCTAGTTTGCTTTCAACTACTATGATAAAGACCATGACCAAAAACAACTTAGGGAGGAAATGGTTTATTTTACTTTCAACTCCAGATCACAGTCTATCACGGAGGAAAGTCAGAGGAGCATGCAAGGTAGGAACCCGGAGGCAGAAACTGAAGCAGAGGCCATGTAGAAATGCTGCTTACTGCCTTGCTCCTCTTGGCTCAGCCTTTTATACAGTCCAGGGCTCAAGGATAGTCCAGCCTCCTACATCGATCACTAACGGGCAGCATGCCCCCACAGACCTGCCTACAGGCCAATCTGATCAGGGCATTTTCTCAACTTAGAATTCCTCCTCCCAGATGACCCAAGCTTATGCCAAGTTGACAAAAACTGAACCACTACTAATTACTACAGAATAAACTATTTAACTGTCTATAGAAAGGAAGATAAATTAACATCACTAACAGAAATTAGAACGGGCTAAGAATGTTTCCCACTAGCATTTATTTAAAAATCACACAGATATGAGCACTCAGGATTAAGCCAGCAATCATATAAGGGAGAAAGCAATGCTACCTACATATTAGCATTAATCCTAATATCACAACTCTCCCCCAATCAGCTAGTTTGTTTTCTAAATAGTACACTGTACCCATCCAACACAGCAAAGAACTCATGGGAATTCTAGTTCTGAAATATCTGAATTTGAAGAGTAAGGAAGTGTTTAAAGATCTAAGCTACATACAAATGTTTACAAGTTACAGCTGACACTTTCTGGGAGGTGAGGGGAGGTGCTGTTTTATCTGGAAGGTGGTGGTATCTGTAAAGCATTCATGTGGAGAGAATGGACAACTTGCTGGAGTCAGTCTCTCCTCTCTGTAGGTAGCCCTGAGGATGGGGATCGGGCTGCAGTTCAGGTCTGGTGTCCTTACCTGCTAAGCTGGCTTGCTTATCATTTCTTTTGCTAAAGCATTTAAAATGTGGTTAAAAAACAAAAATCCAAAATTCAAGTAAATTGATCCCAACAATACTTCACTTCCATTATGCCACAATGGTTCTCTCTTGTAGCTCAATGCTCCAGTTCAAATTTCTTTTCTAAATCTTACATAAATGCTTCCCTAACTTACCAATTTCCGTTCCTCTGGATGGAGCCAAACCTACCTTGAAAATGACAGTGTTACAACCCTTGACTCTCACTCTTGAGTTTTAGACTGTATAAATAATTTACAATACTAAAGCCAAAGTAACACTGGACTTTCTTTGCAAGTTTCATTTTATTGGGTAACTGATTTCCTATGGGATTACTGTCACACTGACTTAAAAAAACATAAAAATAAATAAGCCAACAACTTTTTCCAAGCTGACAACAAAGAAACTAACCAAGTCAATTGTGAAATTATATAATCTGAATCTTAATCACAGTGAACACTTTTTCCCCGGGGACTATGAAAAGACAACAAATGATTTTGAAAAGTTGTATAAAATCACTATCTGCCCCACATCGAGGAAAGGGTTCACGAAGGACTCATTTCTACTTGAAATATTTTCTCCTATTATTAGGTTGTTGTCCCAAAAGATTAACTGTCATGTCTTTCCTGCTAAGTTGTTTAAATGTTCTCTAATGAACAAAACAAACCTGAAAAGTAACATAATTTCTGTCTTGTGTATAGTCCGTGGGCAACCGCACCCCCAAAATTCTATAAAATGTTTGAGACGTAAATATTGGTTACAAAACACCAGAGAACCACACATACATCATGATTACATGTTGTTTTCTTTTTCTTTTTTTAAGAACCCTCTTCTCAAAAACGACCTTTGTTCTCATTTTTAAAATCTGCCAACTGAAAAGAGGTTCGCGTGTTTTGCTCACTTTTTGTGAAGACACTTGTTCTCAAACTCTTGCAAAAAGTACTGATTACGATATGAAGACTTGCCGCTTTCCCAGAACAGCGCTTCTTACTCATTGAAACTTCAGAATAGTTTACCAATACTTCCTCCGACACCGCCTCCACCTCCCCAAAAAGGGACTCGTTAAATTACGAGAAACAAACCCAATTCAAGTAACTGGAGAATCAACTTTCCCAAGATCAGGACTTCTGAAATTCGATGTCCCTGCAACCTTTCTTCCTATCTTCACCTATGCTCTCATCTATAGCACAGGGCCAGTTTTCAAGCCAAATAAAAAACTTTATTTAAAAAAAACAACACTCCAAGGGGCACTTCGGACAAGGCGCCTGACTCTGGCCGCCTACCCAGAATGGCTCCAACAGGACAAGCCCGGGGAGTTAAGAAAGGTCTTCTCCGCGCCCACCAGAGTGCTCAGGGTCTGAAGAAGTTTCCGAGCTCCAGAGCTGGCTCGCTGAGCGCAAGCGGACAGGAAGCGAGGGCCACGCCGTGGTCGCGGTTGTCGTTCTACTCACCTGCCCATTCTCCGAGCCGCGGGCCGACCCAGGCCTCGTTGCCCACACACCACACCTTGAAGGCCCTGAAGAGCGAGTACGAGGCTCGCAGGGCCAGGTAGGCAATGGTGCTCGCGCCCACCCAGTATAGGAAGCCGGCCGCCGGGAGAGTGCTCTCCATGGCTCGAGACTAGGCCTCACTACTACAGTGAAAGGGAAAGAAAAAAAAAAAAAAACAAAACGAATGAATGGAACGAGGAGGCGGTGCCGGCCGTGACGCCAAAAACGCCGTGGACAGACGCCGTTCTTTGAACGCTTTAGGTCTAAGACCCGCCCATATAGTCATTACCTTGTGGCCATTGGTGACTTCCCTCTCCTATGAGCTTACTGTGTCTCCCATTGGTTAGCCCCCGCCTCGTAGCCCCGCCCACACTCCCCTTCGGCGTGCTCAGCACTGCATTTCCGTATTAAGACAGTGGCTCGCTCACAAGCCACTCAATGTTTGGCTCCGCCCACAAGCTTTACATCGCACCACCGAAGCGCAGGGATCTCTCATTGGCAGAGGTGGCCCTTACGACTACAGAAGGCTGCGCGCTGATTGGCCAATGATATCTAACCTTTAGCTCACATTTCAGGAAGAAATAGAACCGGAAAGGGAAGATTGTAGTAGAAGTCTACCAGCAACTGGAGCGGACTTATGATAAGTGACGCCTTTGTAATAAAAGCTCTCAGATCCCTGTTTATTCCTTGAACTTCTCGGATGAAGGCTTACGGTTCCCCCTTTGTCTGCGCTGCACGCTTTTGCTCCATTTTCTGAATGACTGTCTTAGCTCCCACAATTAACTTTATACCTGTTCCCAAGAATTCCAGAAAACTCTACTACGTTAAAAGTTGTAAGATGAATGAAAAGTATTCTACAAGAACAGAGCTTATGGAACAATTCTGGGAAATACTTAGTTGTTGTTTTTTTTTTTTAAACTGGACCTGATCCAGTAAAAACCATTGTCACTTTATTTTTGTTTTGTGGGAGGATGGCAGGAGTAAAGTTGTTTTGTTTTTGTTTTGTTTTTTTTAAAGAGATATTTGTGTCCTTTTGCTGTAAAACTATCAAAACAATGGAGTCAAAATAGGAACCCATCTACCCCCTCCTAGGGACTTCAGCTGGGATAAAAGAAAACCTAAAACCTGGGCAAACTCTAGAAACACCTTACAGGGGACGAAATGAGCGGCCAGTGGTAGGCTGGACCATGCTTTTACTGGGACTGCTTAGACATATGTTACTCTGGCCCATTCTTAAACCATAACTGCACATCAGAACCTAAAACATGGCTTTGGTGGGAAGTACTGGTTCTCTTTATACCTCTTTCCAAATCTTTTTTTTTTCTCTTTTCTTTTTTCCTGCCGTTCTTCACTAATAATTCGACTGTTTTAGCTGACTTACGAAGGATAGAGGGTTGCAAAACTCACTTGTTGATGCACAAGCTGTGGCCCTGAACCTGATAACAGGCCCTATGCTTGAACAGCAAGTGCTTTACCTGTACACCAAGCAATCTCCCCTGCCCTGAAGGGAAGTTTTAAGGGGACACAAAAATCTGATGTCTGGAAGAGCATAAAAGTACTTTAGTAAAGTTTCAGGAGCCAGAGAGACAGACACACACACAAATAAACAAATGGAGTCTCTGTTCAGGCTCTACTTAGAGGTCAAGGTGCTCATTCAATATCTCCACTCAATCTCAATACATTTATTGTTTGTTTTTGTTTTGAGACAGGATGATGTCAAATATCCCAAGCTGCCTCTGCCCCCCAAGGTTTGGGATTCCAGGCATATGACACCATGTCTTTTTATTTTTTAAATTCAGTGCTGAGGATTGAGCCCAGGGCTTTATATGTGATAGTCAAGTACTGTATCAACTGAGCTACATTCTCAACCTAAGCTTAATATATTTAAAAATAGAACTCACACCTGCCCTCAAATGCCTCTTCTGGTGGTTTGAATAGCAATGCCCCTCATAGGCTCATATGTTTGAAGACTTGTTCTCCAGTTGATAGAATGGTTAGGGAAGGATTAGAAGGTGTGGCCTTGTTGGAGGAGGTGTGTCACTGGAGGTGGGCTTTGAGGTTTCAAAAGTCCATGCCAGTCTAACTTAGCTCTCTCTGACTCTTGCTTATGGATCAGACGTGAGCTCTCAGCTGCTTCTCCAGAGTCATGCTGGCCTGCGTGCTGCCATGCTCCCTGCTATGATGTTGATGGACTTGCCCTCTGAAACTGTAAGCAAGACTCTAATTAAATGCTTTTGTTTATAAGTTGCTTTGAGCATGTTATCTCTTCATAGCAATAGAACAGTAACTAAGACACATCTTAACTAAGACCCATCTCCTTAACTGGGCCACTATTCATGATTTCTCTGAGATGCAAAACCTAGGGGTCAACCTTCTTTTCTATTAAATTCTCATAACCAGTGCTTCAACAAGTCTTATTCACTCTGTAAACAAAACACACCATGACAGATTTCTTAGCTCTGCTACCGCCAACTAATGCAAATCTCAAGTGTTTTATCCTAGAATATGCTAATGGGTTCATTATTGGTTTCTCTAAAGCTGTTTTGGCAAACAAATTTTGTTGTTGTAGAATTGCTTTTAAACAATGTATAAGAAGGTGGGCATAGTGGTGCATAACTTTAATATCATTATTCGAGAGCCAGAGGCAGGTAGGTCTTTGTACGTTCAAGGCTAACCTTGTCTACATAACTAATGAGTTCCAGGCCAGCCAAGTGATACCTTGTTTGGAAAAGAAAGAAAAGAAGAAGGAAGGGAGGAAGGGAGGAAGGGAGGAAGGGAGGAAGGGAGGAAGGGAGGAAGG